CACAACTACAACAGTAGTCGCTGTATCTTGATCCCTTCCACGTCTCTTAACTCCCACTGGAAGTCACATAGCCTTGGGAGTCCATCATTGTCACCATGCCTCAAGCCCTAAGTCTTTCTAAATGGGAAATGGGACAGCTGAGCTCCTGCAGGGCCCCTACCCCGAGACTAAAAAATATTATAATTCACGCTTCACTCGCTCCAGCTACAATTGATTTCACATGATGTAAGTTGGGCACAGTTTTGAAATTTGTCACGCATCCTGAATATTAACATTTAGCCTGAGTAAAGATGAAACCAATGAGGTGGAAGGTTATGTCATTATTCTGGGGGCAAGTAAAGATGCTTATTTAATTAGGTCCAACTCAGATGCAGCCCAGGTTCAAAGTGGCTAATGTGTGGTTTGGTATGGGATATTCACCTGTTTCCACACCATTGAATACCCATTCTTCCTTCAAAACTCCTATGAAATATCTTCTTCTCTGCAATGTTTCTCCACCTGCCGACAGTCTGTGAGCCTGTCTTCTCAGTCATTTCCACATTGTTACTGTGAGGCTCTTTGGCCACATAGCTCTCTCTTACTAGATCTTAGTCCCATTAGTCCAGAGAAGGCAAGGACTATATCTGGTCTTTGCCTTGCCAGCACCAGGCACGGTGCAGATACTTGCTAAGTTCACAGTATATGTTTTGTGTTGGCTTCACAAGTAATGCTTTACAAGCAAACATGTGTTAATGGCTTCTACCAATACAACCTGACTTATGGTAAGCTAATAATGAATTAAACTTCAGAGAGCAACCCAGACATGGCTGTCGGGTCTCCCATGAGTCAAAGGCTCAGAGGACATTTGCCTCTACACAGTTGCTGTTGCCACCAATCACTTCCTCCAGGGCCGTTTCTCTGTGAACAACCATGCTTAAAAGATAAGGCAGATCCATGTGTGAGTGGAGTAGGTCTGTCTGCCCTCACTTGTTCCCCTGAGGTTTTCTAAATGCCCACCATTAGCCTCAGTTATTGTGTGTGTGTGTGTGTGTGTGTGTGAGAGAGAGAGAGAGAGAGAGAGAGAGAAAGAGAGAGAGAGTCACCTTACAGAGACAGAGTCACCTTACAGAAAACTGTGAAGATATGCAAATGTCACCTAACAGCAGACATTCTTACTGTGGATTTGGATTCTTAAAACTCAGAAGCATGTAAGAAAAAAGAGAGTTGTTATTAGTAGTAGATGGATGTGTTTTTCTTCTAGCCACTTACTCTCATCCTCCCCTGTGATCAGCCATTTTTATTTGGTAAAGGGAGAGCTGGTTAATGGGAGAGGACCAGGGGCACACAGTTGGGGCAGAATATGGTATGGGCCTGCTGGCAGTTAAAGAGTAAGACTACATGTACTCCCAAGTTGGAGGATCACAGGCCTGTGAGTTCCCCTGAGTCTTGACGGGCACTACTCAGCTTTCCCTTAAGAAGCCATTGAGCTTGGCTGCCTAGGAGGATTCTCCTTTTCCAGCTAACTCTTCTCCTCCCGCCCCAAGTCCTCTGGACCTCTGAAGAGCCTGGCCAGGGCCCGATGTGGATAGTTCCATCACCAGGAAAGACAAACACTTGGAGAAAGAAACACGAGCAGGTTTCTTAGCAGTCTGCCCCATGGAGAGGAGTGTGCCCTTGGCAAGTGCACGGAGATGCACAGTACTCAGAGGACATTTCAGGTCGTGGATGTTTACCCAGGCTGTGAGGTATTCCTCATTGTCTCGCAGTCAGGGGCTTCCAAAGTCTGGACTTGGTAGTCACAGAAGTACTGCACCAATTCATACAAATGATATCTTCGTGGGACAATCTTTGAGTATCTAGCAGGAGGGAATTACTGAAACACATTTAAGTCAAATCTAGGAGTATGTTGAGATCGCAAGACATAGTGAAAGAGAGACCCAGTCTGTGCTGTCTCTACATTACTGAGCTAACAAGTCCCATAGACCAGAACTAGTGAAACAGAAGCACACCTAGACACACATAGTGGACTTCAAGGAATTGGATCATGTAATTGAGGAGAATGGCTAAGGACGTGTGTGGGTTCACATGTTTGGAGTGGGGATGTGGAGCTGGAGACTCCTTCAGGCTTACACCCCCAAATCCATAGGTCCAACAAGAATGGCAAGAAGAATGCAGAAGAAATCATTTCTGCCAAAATGGCTGTTTATAGTCTGGAGGTAGAGCAAGTACTCCGTAGTACAATGATCTTTTCAGCTGATCAATTGATCGCATTTCATTAGGTTACATTATGTAAAGTGATTGTATTACATCACATTAGATTATATTATGGAAGGTAGTCAGTGCTACCCAGGGCAAGCTGATGTAAATGTGTCTGTGTACTCCATGACTGCAGCTAGGTTAGTGTTTGGTCAAATAAGTAGGAACCTTAACCCAGTTGGCACATAAAATGAACCACAACAATCAGCGTCTTAAGAGTTCACTGAAGACAGA